AGATATGGTACCCACCTGCCTACTCTGTGGCTCTATAGCAGGGGAGTTCAGGAGAAGGATGATAGCCTCTGCTTTCCTCTCTGTCTGGGAGAATGCTGTCCCCCAGCTCTTGCCTTGACACTAGACACTTCAGTTCCTCCCCATATGCTACTGGTACCTTTAAAGCTGATACCCTAATGTCAGAAGTAAGAAGGATTGAGTCTGAGTAAGTTCATGTGTGAGTTCTTTAAGAGGAACTCCTTGGGACTCCTGAAGTTTCTTTTACTGAGACAACCCCCACTAACTTTTACAGCCAGATGTTACGGCTTTTCTTTTTGGCACTGAAACCCAGTCCTGAGGGTCCTGGTGTTGGGCTTGGACACTTTGCTCCTGAGATATTCCTCCCAAATTTTTATTTACCGTATGTGGTGTGGGACTAGCCTGTTCTGTGTCTCTGGCCCTCCTACCAGTCTGGATGGATGTGGTTTCTTTAATTCTGTAGTTGTCTGACTTCTACCCAGCTCAGTTTCTGACAGATCGGAGTGATGGCTATTCTATAGCTTAGTTGTAATTTTGATGTGGTTGTGCAAGGGAGTGAACTGTGTTTACCTGTGCTGCCATCTTGACTGGAAGTCTGCATATGATACCATATTTAACCCTCAGTATAATAATTTGGTGAGATGGGCATTATTACTATGGTCTGAATGTTAGTATCTCCCCCTACCCACCTACCAAATCCATATGTTGAATCCTAATACCAAATGTGATGGTATTAGGACATGGGGCTTTGGGAGGCACTTAGGTCATAAGGATGGAACCTTCATAAATAGGTTAATACTCTTATAAAAGATCCCCCCCCCCCAAAAAAAAAACCCAAGCCCTTGCCACCTTGTGAGAACACAGCAAGAAGGGGTTGGCTACGAGCGAGGAAGAGGGTGCCTTCGTGAGAATGCAACCATGCTGCTGCCTCCAGTACTATGAGAATAACATTTCTGTTGTTTATAAGCTACTCACTCTGTGGCATTTGTTATATCAGCCTGAACAGACTAAAACAATTATTTACAAATGAGAAAACAGATGCTGAGGATTTAGAAACAGATCTTCTGAGGTACCTTGTTCCTCTCTACTCTACAAAGTGGTCACTATCCTCTCTTTCCTTCTGTCATCTGCTTCTGGGCCCTTGGACTCTGTCACACTGCCTCTGGTGCCACACAGACACAAGGAGGCGTAGAACCAGACTGGGTAGTTTCAAGAGCTGATACAAGATTAAAAAAGGATTTATTAGGGAAAGTGTAGAGTTCCTCATTTTCCCACTGATGGACTTTCAATACCTGTCTATTTCAGGGGCATCCAACTCATTCATGTCATTCCTCTTAGACATGGTGGGGAGGAAACATGGGTCTGGGAATTGTGTCTTGGTGCCAGCAAAGTGCTGGGGCAAGTGTCAGTGAGTTTCTCAAGGTTCCCCTTTCCTGGCCATTTGAAGGCTTAAAATAAGCCCATGCCTGGATGCTTGCTGTGGCTTGAAACAGTCACTAAGCATGGAGATTTACTGCCTTGCTTTCTGTGTCCTACTATTTTAAGTGTCACTTATACTGTAGTGTCTTTTTAAATTTATGGATGTTCACTCTTCAAAGAACCTCTGTACTCCTTCCTGTGGCTTTCTCATAAATGCCGTCTGAAATACGGACTTAGTTTTACACTGTATGTACTATAGAGCTTCCTGAAGTCCCTTTGGGGTCTCTGTTCTTTACTTTGGATTTTATGTAAAAATAGACAAAAGTGCATAAACATATGCCATAAACAACCACAAAATGTTGATCTTTCTTCTTAATAGCAAAGTGTATTCTCTTTGAGGGCAGAAATATAGGAAATCAAAGGCATTTTTCTTGTGATACAAAACTTCAGATGCCCAATATAAATGAGGAAACAGATGCCAACTGATGTCTCTTTGAAAAGGGTCAGCATAAATTCCTCATCTTTTGCCTCCTTATCAAGTACACTGGCCCTCTCCTACGCTTTTTTCCCCTTTCCTGTACATCACTTTCCTTGCTACACCTGCAATTTCTGATGGGATGGGCCACCACTGTGGACTAATTTTTACCTAACCTTTGACCATCAGAACTTGTTGTTCTCACAGCTATCTTTAGACAGGAAGTTCTGATGATCTTAGTCTTCCGAATTATATGAAAAGTGACTTCCCAGCAGATGTGGCCTAAGTTACTCACTGACTATTGCTGAGTGAATTTCCTCATACTAGGTTCAGGAAGTGTCTGATCCAGCCTGTATCAGAAGAATAAGGAAGTGTACAGGGTGGGGTGATGCTGGAAGTACGTATGAAAGATGACAAAGCTACAGTTATAATAGACATAAAAGATGGAAATGACTCAAGAGAACTTCCAAGCCAAGGGCCGATTACCTAGTCCTGTTTCAAATCACTTGAGAATATTTATGCAGCCTCTGTTCTCCTCAGGACCTAGAATTTTGCTGGAAGACATGACAGTGATGGGAAATATCACTAATGTTACAAGGTGTGGTAGGTGAAATGTCATATTAGTGGTCTACAGCAGGGGTTGACAAACTATGGCCTGAATGCCAAATCTGACCCTGTTTTTATAAATAAAGTTTTATTGGACCACAGCCACAACCATTTACTTATTGTGTATGCCTGCTTTACAACCACAAAGTGAAGCAGTTGCAACGGAGACCTTATGGCCCTCAACACTAAAGTGTTTCCTACCTGGGCTTTTACAGACAAAGTATGTTCAACCCTGATCTAGAGTGGGTGCCTTGTGGGTGCTGTAGGGAGAGATCACTCCAGGCTGGAACACTGTAAGAAGGCTTCACATAAGGGCTTAAACTATGTCTCAAAGATTTCCAGGGTTTGCCTAGAGAGGATGGTGTGGGAGAGGGTATTCCAGGCAAAGAAGGCTCAAGACCATGGCAATTACTAGGGAAAAGTTTGACAGGAATGGAGAGATAAAATGGAAAGATGGATGTACAGGCTAGGTCGGAATAGCAACAAGCCTTGAATGCCAGGATAAAATAGTCTAAGCGATGAAACATACATGTTCCCATACAAGCCTCTACATGGGTAGTAGGGACTTTTCAAGTCCATTTGAGCTCTAAGAATCAATTTTTTAAAAAGTACTGATGCCTATGCCTATTCCCATTCCCAGAGAGTCTTTCTTAATTGGTCTCAAGAGTGTCATTAAATTTTGTTTGTGAAAAACTTCCCCAATGACTCTATTTTGCATTTGGGAACCTTTTCCTAGAAGGAGGAAATAGCCAGGAATGTGCCTGCAAAAGCCAAGCTCAGGGCCAGGTAAATGTAGCAGGTGCCCAACACATGTGAATCAAATTAAATCAGCAATATTGGCTTGTCCCAGAGCCAGCCTGATAAGTCTCTGTTTTACTAGAGTCAGTTATATCACATTCACTTGGTCATGTGGTTTCCAATAAAACACTTCTGCCCGCCCTGGACTAGTCTTGGAAAAGCCTATGATGCTCAATGCAATATTGAGTCTGTTTATACATTCGGGCATTTATAGAGTTTTCTTTCACTGTTATTTTACCATGACCATTTACAAGGCCTTACACAATGTGCCCCTGGCCTTGTTACCTCTCTGATCTTCTCTCCCCCATACAACCCAGATGACTCCCCTCCTGCCACTACAGTGGCCTCTTGTTCTTTGAATGCACGAGGCATGTTTCTGTCTTAAGGACTCCATACAGGCTTTTCCTCTTCCCCAGATGCTCTTCTCTTCTCATCTCCAATCATGTGCAAGGCTCAGTAGCTCACAGTCAGGTCTTTGCTCAAGGATTACCTTCTCACTGAGCCCTCTCCTGACCATCTATATAATTGAAAATTGCATCCTCCTTCTCACATAGGTACTTGAATGCCAGGCTAAAATACTCTAAGCACTTATTACCTTTCAACATACCATGACATTTACTTAGTTATGCTTATTTTCTATTTCCCCTATTACAATGTAAGCTGTATGAGAGAAGGGGTTTTATCTTTTATTTTCTTCTGTATCTGCAGTGCCTTCAGTGGTGACTGGAACATAGAAGGAACTCAAAAAATATGTCTATTACACAAATGCTGAGAAGGCTTTTACTGGTTCTTCAAGACTGAGCTCAAACAGTTCCTCTGTAAGCTCTCCCTGATTCCCCCTTTGACAAAGAAAGGAGTTCTCCCTTCTTTGTTCACTTTGGCTTCTTTTGAAACTGTTCAGTGCTTTCTCATGCATTATTGACTTTTCTTTCTCCCCTACTGCTTCTGACCTACACCAAATCTGGGAGAGAGCATAGGACCTGGCATCTAGACTGAACAGGTCTATATTCAGGAAATGAGCCAGAACTTGGCAACACAAGCTTTGGACTAGTCTTTTCCTTGTAACCACACTTTCTGTATTGCACACCTATGTAGTACTCCATTTTATTCTGACGTATTAACTTGAGTGGTCTGAAATGGTTCACTAGCATGTAGAAGGTACAAGAATTTCAATAAGAAAAGCCTAAAAAAATCTGATGATTTTGAAAACCTTTTGTTTATGTGGACTAGCTCTTCCCCCATTAATCTATTTACTAAGTCCTGTTGAGGTTATTTCCCACATAACTCTGAATTCATTCACTTATTTTCATTGTCTCCTGCTCTCTAGTCTAAGCCGCAGTTATCTCTTACCTGGAATACTACAAACATTCCTAAATGGTATACTCTATCTAGTCTCATCCCCTGGAACCTACCCTCTACACAGCAGCCACAACAAGCTTTTATTTATTGTTTTATCTTCACTGAGGATATGTTTTTTTCATTGCTTTTAGAGAGGGGAAGAGAGAGAGAGAAACATCGTTGTGAGAGGGAAGCATCGATAGGCCACCTTCCCAAACCTGCAGCCTAGGTATGTGCCCCAGCCAGAAATTGAACCCGCAACCCTTTGGTTATGGGATGATGCTCCAACCAACTGAGCCACACAGGCCAGGGTGAGCCACGACAAGCTTTTAAAAAACTCAAATCAGTGCTTGCTTTGGCAGTATATATACCAAAATTGGAACTATACAGAGAAAATTAGCATGACCCCTGCACAAGGATAACACGCAAATTTGTGAAGTGTTCCATATTTTTTAAAAATTAAAAAATAAAATCATAAAACAATAAAATTTAAGAAGTATAAAAAAATCACAAATCAGGTGATGTCTCTTCCCTGCTTTAAACCATTCAGCCTTTGTATTGCACTTAGCACAAAGTGAGAGAGTCTTAACATGGCATACAGAGTGCCAGCAATTTGCTCCCACTTTTCTCTTCAACCTCATCTTAGGCCACTTGCCCCTTGGTTATTACCTCTGCTGGTTCCCCAGCCCAGAATACCTTCTCTTTAGTTGGATAACCTCCCTTCACTTTCCCAATCTCAGCTCAAATATTCTTCTCAAAGAAACCCTGTCTAAAGCTCAGACCAGGAGTGCTGTGCTGTCTTATGTTCCCACAGCATCTACTTCTTCCTCTTTTTACTACTGCTCTCTTGTTTGAATTACTTTCTCTACCAGACTCAAGTTGCCCTACTAGAATTCAGACTGCACAAGGGCAAGTACATTAATCTGTTTTGTTCATGCTTGTCTCCTCAGTATCTAGAGAACAGTGTCTACTGCATAGTAAATGTGCAATGCTTTTTTCTTGAATGAATGAATTAGGGACTAGGTTTGTCTATTTTATTTACTGTGTATCTCTGGATCTAGCACAGTACCTGGCACATAATAGGCACTCAACAAATTCTTATTGAATGAGGAAATCAATCTTTGATATTGCCTTCTTAGGCCCTTTACCAAGGCTTTCAACTTTGAACATTAATATTTATTCAACAGCTTTCTGATATACTCTCCTACCTTGAGGAATTTATATCCTTGTATGTGAACAATGACTGTAAGCTCCACCTGTGATTCCAGCCATAGCTCCCTCATCAGTGTGATGTGATTGGTAACTTCAGCATTGGAGAAAGAAATAAATTTTCACCTTTTAGCATGAGATTTGTGGTCAACAAAACTGCTGGTGCTCTTAGCAGAGATATCTGGAACTGGATCTCATGCCAGCCAGGCACTGCAATTCTCAGCATTTTTAATAAGCAGAGAAAAAAATGTGCAAGCTTCTTGTCTCAGGTGGTTGGAAGGAAAACGCCACTGCCTGATTATGGGCCTTGGCCTTACTGCCTGCCTTCTCCAGGGCTCTGAGAAGTGGAACCGTAACATAGGCAGGGCCCTGGGGAGCATATTGATGCTGCTGAGATGCTGCTGTGTGTGTTGGCTGTGACCCTCGAGTCCCTGGCTGGGGAGAGGGGGCAAGCACAATGACTTCTTTCATGGAAAAATTTGACTCTGCAAACTCAGGTCTGAAGGCTTGAATCTCTCTCTTCTTGGTAAATCATAAGCCATGAGAAAGGCTATGCTGTTTGGCTCTCTGAGGGTTAGCATGACATGGCAGGAGTCCGTCTGGCAGAGATGTCATGAGGAGTCCCATTTGACTGAGGCATTGGCACTTGCTCCCTCACAAAGGAGAGTTTGTGACTAATTATAGGGGGTGGAATGAACCTTATGTATATATTCTGTAAAACATTCTGATGGGGCCTGGGCCTAAACAGGATATGCTGAGAAAAGGCCTCTTAAGCCTCATATTTGCTTACTGGAGGCACCTGAAGTCATCTAATTCTGACAAAAATCCATGACCTTTACAACACAGATTTTCTCTTTTTCCCAACCTTCCTAAGAAAGGTCTCTATTTTTTTTTCAGACTCTTTGACTTTATGGAGAAAGCCTAACCCAGTGATGGGATAAAGGGCAGAGTGACACAGTGAAAAGCGTGCCCCTGCTCAGACCCAGGAGATGTGTGATCACCACCACAGACCTTGGTATCCTTTCCACATAATGAGGGGGATGGACTAATTAGTGGTTGGTAGACTTTTTTTGTAAAGGGCCAAAAGGAAATATTTAAGTCTTGTGGACCAAATGGTTTCTGTTGAAAGCACTCAACTTTATCATTATGGTGTGAAAGAAGCCATAGACAATACATAGGTAAATAAATGGGTGTGGCTACATGCCAATAAAACTTTATTTACAAAAACAGATAGTGAACTAGATTTTGTCTATGTGTCTTTGTTTGCCCATCCGAGAAACATTCTCTCTTAAAAGCACCTATGTAATAATTCTAGAACATGATTATCAAGACTAGAGAACAATTACAAAAAACAATGAGAAAATAAATGACAAAAAACACACACTTGTCAATAATTACTTTACATATAAATAGAGCAAATGCTCCAAGCAGAAGATATAAGGTGGCTGAAAGGATGCATAAAAACAAGGCCTGTACATATGCTGTCTAGAAGAGACCCACTTCAAATGGAAAGACACACAGATAAAAAGTGAGGGGATAGTGAAAGATATTTCATCCAAGTGGAAAGGGAAAAAAGTTAGGGTTGCAATACTTATATCAAACAAAATACATGTTAAAAACAAAGGCTGTCATAGAAGACAAGAAAAGGTATTTTCATAACATAAAGGGATCCGTTCAATGAGAAGATACACTCTTGTAAACATTTATGGACCCAATTTAGGAGCACCTAAATACATAAAGCAAATATACAAAAGGAGAGATCAACAATAATACAGTCATAGTTGGGGACTTTAACCCCTCACTGACATCAATGGATACATCATCCAGACAGAGAATCAATTAAGGACATGGTGGCCTTAAAAGACACATTAGACCCAATATATTCATTTGCTATTTTTAACCAAAAGCATCAGAATATACATTCTTTTTCACCCAGGGGCATCAGAATATACACTCTTTTCAACTGCACACAGAACATTTTCCAAAACGGACTACATATTAGGCCACAGAACAAGTTTCAATAAATTTAAAAAGACTGAAATCATATCAAGCATCTTCTCGGATCATAATAGTATGAAACTAGAAATCATTTACAAGAAAACTGAAAAACACACAAACACATGGAGGCTAAATAACATGCACTAAACAATGAATGGGTTAACAATGAGGTCAAGGAAGAAATCAAAAGATGCCTTGAGACAAATGAAAATGAAAACACCATAACCCAAAATCTATGAGACACAGCCAAGAATAAGAAAAATCTCAAATAAACAACCTAACCTTATATCTAAAAGAGCTAGCAAAAGAAGAACAAAGCCCCAAGTGACTAGAAGAAAGAATCTAAAAGTTCAACATTAGAGAGCAGGTTGAATAAGAATGGCACCTCCTATCAGTGCAGCCATTGAAAATAAAGTTGTAGAATAATATTGAGAGGCAAGGAAAGATGATTATTATATACCATTCAGTGAAAAAAGTTACAAGCAGTATCCGATAGGTCTCAGGTCTCAGAAGGCTGCAAAAAGGTATAGGTGCTGCAGGGAGGCATGAGCTATAGCTGTTCTAAAAATTGAGCCCTGCCACCAGACCTGGACCTGGACCACTAAGGATGAGGGCATGAGCCTTGCTCTCCAGAACAGCTGGCACAGTTTAAGCCTCCCTGCAGAAAGGACAGTTGTAAAACAAGGACAAAAAATTAGTACCGGTCTTGCCTAGGACAATAGATCCAGTTAGGTCAGGTTTACTTTGCTTAGCCAAGTCTCCACTGGGCATTTCCATGTCTACATCATATAGCAAAGAGCATATGAGCAACAAGGGACCCTCTAGTCCCTGGTCTTCATTTACTGTTATAGAAAGTGAGGTCCAGATGGGCCCAGGCACATGTCGCTCAATCAACCTTCCTTCTTGACAGTTGCAGCAGTGGCTTAAAGTGACATATTAATGCTGAAGTGTCTGGTAACTAAAATAACCATTTCTGGCATAGACTCACCTACTGGGAATCTCAACACATGAGCTTTAATCGGGGAGAGTTAGATCTGCTATATGGCTTTTAAAAATCCAAAATCGCCCATTCTCCCTTCCCCCAATGAAAATGAGAATCAAGGTCCATGAATTATTGTTTCTGTGCCACAGAACCATGATGTTCTCTACATTTGCTGCAGCCAACCTACCTTGTAGTTGGGAGAAATACATACAGAGGAATCTCACATCCTCTGGCTACAACGGTGTTGGCAAATAGTTTTCCTCCTACCAAATGTTGCCATGCTTGCTGGGAATGCTAAAATATATCCCAAGGCAGTGCCTGGACTAAATGCAAAAGAATGTCATGGTTGTTTAGGGATGTTCTGGCTGTGGAAGGGTCAATTAACCATATCTTTGCCACCTATTTGCATCCTTGTCTAGAATATCTTTTACCCTCAAAATAGGGTCTCTTCATTAAATCTCTCTCACTCTTGATTACTCTTACAGAATGTTAGAGCAATTCTATAAATATTACTTTCACTGCATTATTCTCCTACTTAAAAACACTCTAAAGGTCTGTTTCCATGTCCCACATAGTAAATCTACTTCCTTAGTCTAATAATCAAAGTCATCCACAATTTGACACCATTTAATATCAGCAACCATACACAGAATCACCTCCCTGACCCATTTCTTGTACCCAGAGCACACACTCTGGTCTAAAAGGGCCACTGATAGCAGCAGAGATGGGAGCTGGTCCAAATGGGAGCAACTAAATTAAGAGATCAGGATGAGTCAATAGTTGGGAGTTTCAAGATGGAGAAGGGTATCAGAAATTTTGGGGTAAGGGACCAAGCCAAATTTGAGTGGACAAGCTCTAGCTGAGCCTTGTTCATTTTCTAAAAATCCTCACTGAGAATATGTTTGTTGATTTTAGAGAGAGAGGAAGGGAGAGAGAAAGAAAAAAGAGAGAGATTGGAAATACCAATACAGGAGGAAAAAAACATCAATGTGAGTGAAAAACACTGATCAGTGGCCTCCTGTACAAACCTGCAACCTATGTATCTGCCCTGAGAATTGAACCCCTGACCTTTTGTTATATGGGATGACACTCCAACCAACTGAGTAAAATAGGGAAATTTACAATGTAGACATTTAATTTAGAATAAATTTACCAATAATAAGCCAAAGAAAATAAGCATTTTAAAACTTCTATGAATTCTGATCAAAATGATATGGAAGAACTCAATACCAAGCTATATCTGTTATAGGAAACAGAATAGGGC